TCCAGCTTTTTCAGGTGGTCACGAAGGCTTGAATGATGGGTGTTCAATGTTTGTGCAATCTCTCGTGTTGTGTAACATGGGTTTGACTCGATCAATGTTTTTATTTTGTCGTCATCAGCCTCCAGTGGGCCTCCCTGACTGAGGAGCATTGTTGAGATCAAAATCACTAGCACAGAATTTTGTGAATCATTGTTGGCACTGATGTCCTTGTAGAGCATTGGAACCATAAACTTTATGCAACTTTTCACAAGCTTGATGTGTGTTCTTCCCTTTCTGGAAGTAAAACAGTAAAATATGGCAAAAATGCACAGTTTGGTCTTCCATCTTCAACTTGTTGTAAAATCTCCAAAACTCAACCAAATCACTCAGTTTTGTTTTAGAATGAAGCTAGAACTGTCAGCTGTCAAATGACATAGCAATAACATAGATGCGAATGACTCTAGTACTTCCAAAAATGAATTAGTGCCATCTGTGGCAAACATGCATCATGACTTTTCCTACAACCCAATATAGATTTTTACATATAAGTGTTTGTTTAAGCTAATTAAATGGAGCTCTTTTACAAATTAACAATACCATCTGAGGGAAGAAAATACTATACAATACACATGAACATACAGAAAAATGCAAACAGAGACCCCTTACCTTTCATTTAAAAATTTTAGTGATGAGACAGGTAATAAGTTTATCTGCTCAGATGGCTAGAGCCATCTTATTTTTTCTGATTAATATTTGTGAAGACAATTAAGATTTGTATTTGTCCTTAACAAGGCAACCTTGGAACCAGAAGTTTGTGCTTTCAAAAAATCCCTCATTTCCTAATTTTTCTTTTTCTTCAGTCTTAGGAATTGGGGATGGTAAAGATAGGTGGGCTTTGAACTACCTCTAGACTGAATTTCTGGTTTTGTAATGATTTGTAAGATAAGAACGATTGGTCTCAGTCTCCCAAAGATTCTGACGTAAGTGACATCATAGGAGAGGGCCCCCTTCCTCAACTTAAATTTCTGTCAGGTTCTGAATTTTAGTTGCCAATGTGGCCAAATTTTTTATCGTAGAGTTATTAAATCCTTTCAAATACCTTGTCAAGTTTCAGCCAGAACATCAGTAAATATTTCTGGCAGGATTAAACAATATCATAGACTCAGATGTACTCAGAAGGGTGCAAAGGTTATTAACTTCCAGAGTCATTGCTGCTGATAGCCTAAAAAAAGAACCGAAGCCTGCATGTCCCAGGCAGTCAGAAAGCCAAGACAAAACCTTAGGACACAGGCAATAGCTTTCCTTGGAAAAGAAAGAAATCAATAACCAATTGGTCTGGAAAGGAAGAGACAATGTGAAGTTTTATTTCCCTTTCTCACTGGGTTCAGGAAGTAATCCATTTACAAAAAAAGAAACAAAAAACTTCTGAGGATCTTCCCAGGGTTTAAGAAATTCTCTCATTATGGTGCTTACACCAGGAAGTAAAGGACATTGAAGGACAATGGCCTGTGAGGAGTAAGGTCAGACTTACAGTCTTTTCTTTTAGGTACCTTTTATCTCTTTAATTTTTCATTAGCCTTTTGCAACAAATCTTTTAATGAAGGTATTTCAGAAATTTTTTGAAGCCTTATGGAGGTTTTCGCATACCAAATAGATAGAGGCATCTTATTATGTATATTTGATTTGGAAGCACTTGCTTTTAAGTGCACTTTTAAATGATCTCATCTAATTGAGATGTTTCTCATAATTGCCATTGTAATTTTAGCTTATAATTTCTTGAGGGCTGGCAGCAGTTTGGCAGGACCCAGCCGTGAATGGAGTTTAGCTCACACTGCTTTCTGGCCATACTTTGGAGCTTCCCACCTGACAGTTACCAAGCCAAGTTCATAGGACATGAAATTTTTAGGTTTTCTTTAGTAAGAGTTGTCATTTTTTCCCTTTCCTATTATTTCCATAAGTATAGGACAACTGTACTTCCAATATCCTGATTTTTTAAAGTAATATCTGCAAATGCCTGAAGGCAAATAGGAAGAGGTGAGAGTGTCCTTGATTTTCATTCTAATTTCTGTCCTTCCATCCTGTTAAGGGTATCTTAATGACTAGCTCTTATAACAATATAAGAGCTCTCTAAATCTTTTTTTCTTTCTTTTCAATTTAGAAGTTTTTCTAATTGAAAGTTTTTCTAATTCATCTGGCCTTGATGAGTGGACTCTTAATGTGACTCAAATCAATAAACACAAGAGGCATCCTCAAAGAAGAGTTCAAAGAGATGCAACCCTCACAAGATGAAGCTAACACCCGGAGTTAGAAACAGCCATTCGCCTCTGATTCCCTAAGCTCGCACGCACCCACAGCCCACGCGGCTGCCCAGCAGGTACATATGCATCCTCTGACTGCTGGAAAACAAGAACAAGAGGCCCTCTTTTTATCATCTTTGGGAGGAAATGGATGGACCCATAAAACTCCCTTGAGAACTTGGCACAGCTGGACAGAGAGCAAACTCCATCCCAGCAAGTGCACCATCTGGATGGTGGAGGCCAGCTCTCAGGACATATAACAAGTCGAAAGGAGAGACACCCGGAAGATAGAGAAACAGAATGAACAAACCTGTTAAGTACTCACACCAAGTAAGCAAGTGTTGCTAAGCCCAAGAAACTAGTTGCACAAACATTTTCTCCTGCTAATCTAAATTTAGTAAAGAAAAAAAAAAAAGGACTCTTACCACTCTGCTTCCACCAATCTCTGTAGGTAGAGATCCGAGAGTCTAACTTGACAAAAATTCTTACCTTTTTTGTTGCTGGTTCATGTTAGTGGTTCCAGGGTGTTCCTACTGTAGCAGCTTCAGGGTGAGCAGTGCCCAGCTGTGGAGGTATCCTCCTCACAGCATGTTTTGTTTTTTTTAAGATTTTTTTTTTAATTGGGAAATTGGGGGATGGGAACAGCGCTGGGGGAATTCGGGGAAGGGGAACAGACCAAGTTGCTGTCCTTTTGTTCTTCAGTCTAGTTGTGGAGGATGTTGCTTCACTGGCTCAAGTTGGCACCATCATTGCGCCCTTCCCAGGTGAGACAGATCAGTCACTGGCTTCTGGACTGCCGCTCACAGTGGCTGCTGGCTACATACGGTAGACCATGGCAACCCACTGCAGCAGGGGCTGCAGCAGGGGCTGCAGCCTATGCCGCCTCCAATGCCGGCACCCGCGACTCTCTGGCAGCCCAGCTCCAGGTTGAGCTGTTGTTCAGCATCTTAGCTGTAGAGGGCACTGTCACTGGCCCTCATATGTGGGATCCGAACCGGGGCCCTCTGGCATCCCAAGCCAGCTCTTAACCAACGCACCACTCCGTCGGCCCTCACAGCATGTATTTTCAAGTGCCTGTTGCAGAGAAGATGTTCTCATAATGTGAGTGCTATCACTTGGGATAAAGTAACATGGACACTACATCTTTTACCCAAAGTATGCACAACAAGAAATTGATTATTTATATTTATATAAAAACTGGCAGGAGAAAAGGTTGCTTTTTATATCGTGATATACAAATGGATAGTCTGTCCTTTTTTCCTATACAAGTCTTTCTGTTAAACATTGTTAATACATAGTATATATGATCTAAAGGTTCATAGTGAACACAGAAACATTAATATATTTGCTCTAAGAAGAAAAATAAATCAACAAAATAAGATCCTGGCTAAAAAAAATGAAGGTTTAATGATAGATAATGATTATATAGCAATTAATATAAGACCTTTATTACTAGGCTTTCTTTTTCTCAAGACTAAGAAAATGAACACTAGCTTTAACTCCACTGTTAGATTAGAAAAGGAGGTTTAAAGATCAATATTAATAAACAGTTAATTGATGTGTCTTTCTGCCCCTCTAGATAGACTCACTTATTCATTTATACACCTGGTTAGTCAACACATATTAATAGAATGCATAGTATAGGCCAGACACAGGTGTGGTAGCGGTGTTACAAAGTCAAGTTTATTATGATGCCTACCTTTAAGAGTCAGTGATCTAACAATCTTCAACTAGAATGGAGCTAAATGTCAACTGCAATAACAGTAACAAAAGTGAAAATGAGCATGCTTGCAATAATAATTTTAAATAGGAACAGAAATTTTATATGTTAATTTTGTGTGCTTTCATCTAAACTGAGAAAAAGAGGTAAAATACTGAACTGGAATGTTATAACCTGAAGTTTTCAGTGATTAAAGATACCTTTTATAAACTTTATATTATTGATGGGTGAAAATTAATAAATATGAATGAGCAAATATTTAATTATATACGGTTCAATTCACATTAATTTATTCAATCAGTAGTTCATTCAATAAATATTTATTAAGCTTCTGTTATATTCCAGGAGCTGGTTAAACGAACCAAACCAAAAAAAAAAAAAAGTCAGGCCCCTGCTCTCATGGACTTTACTTTCCAGGGAAGTAATACAACATGCTCTGACACTCCACATACTTCACTACATTTTCATGGTAAATATTGCCAGCAGGGACAGTACTACCAAGGGCAAGATACACTTGAGGCCTGGAATTCTTCAAGTCTGTACTTCTGTGCAAGGGTCTTAGGGCACCTGTGCCAGTAGGTGTGCAATCTTAACCAAGTTACTTGAACATTCTAACCTTGTTTCCCTCTGTAAAAAGGAAACAGTAATAATAGTTGGGTTCCCCTGGAGACTAAATGAGATAATGTGTGATTGTCTGGCAATTATTAGTATCATTGCTACGGCTCTGTGGTTTCAAGACGTACCTGCTCATTAGAATCACCTGGGGATTCTTAAAAAAAGTTCCAAACCCCAGGCCACGCACCAGACCAATTGAACCTCAATCTCTGAGACTGGGACATAGGCGGCAGCACTTTTGGAGCTCCCCAGGTGGTTTTCAAATTGCAGACACATTGGGGAACCGCGACAGTGTAGCTTTGTAGTGTAGTGTAGTATTGATGTTTCATGTTTAACATTTGCCCACCAACCTTTCTTTACCCGAGGTGGAACCAGGAAGCCTCCTGAGTTGAATGGAAGCTAATCGAGATGCCCATTTCTCTGTCCCATCGTGTGACTTGAATGCAAATCTCTTGCAAACCTCTGCAGGAGGACAGGGATGGGAGGGCGTCCTGACCTCGACTGCTGACAGCTTCTAAGCGTAACGAGACCCTTAGGTATATGAGGCGGGCTGACACTTTCACCTGCGGCGCCAGCCGGGCCCGCCCGCGGAGATGCGAGGAGCTGGGAAGCTCAGCCCTCCCGGGGGCGCTGGGCGCAGCGCGGAGGCCGCGGACGCTCCACGAGGCGAGATCGGAAGCCGTGTAGTTCCCTGGGGACCCGCAAGGGCCCGGCCCGCTCCGCTCCGCTCGGGGGGCGCAGTTTGCGCGCTGGGCGCCCCGGCCCTCGTGCTCCCTCCACCCCGCGACCCCGACCGGTCTGCTCGAGCAGCCGTGGGGAGCTTTGACCCGGAGCTGGAGGGGCCCG